CCTGTGCCATGCACTTTAATTTTTTATTTTTTTTATTTGGTATTCATTGAGGGTACAAATAATTAGGTTACATGATTACATTTGTTGGGTAAAGTTGCTCTTATAACTGTGTCCGCCCCCAGGAGGTGTGCCATACACTGTAACCCCCCATCCTCCTCCCACCTCCCCTCTCCCGGCTCCCTCATTCCCCTGCCCCCACCTGGAGTTAATTTGAGTTTTTCTCTTATGAGGGTTTGTATTAGATCATCGACTAGCTACAGCTCTTGTATTGACCTGTATTGAGTTAGAAATCTGGAGTTTGATTGGAGACACGTTTGTGATGCCTATTAGACATCTATTAGGAGGTATCAAGCAGGCACTGGGCCGCATCAGGATCGAGTTAGAGAGGAAGGTCTAGGCTGCAGGGAAGTATTTGGCAGTCAGTATCACAAGGGATGTATTGTTGGCACGTGATGCAGGAACAGGTGGCCGGGAGAATTTATTCCGTTAGTTACAGGATTTCCTAGTTACAGGATTTCCTAGCTCTAGGTATTGTTATTTGAATGCCTCTTCAGAGGAGGCAGGGATGACTTTACCTTAAATTATTTAGATTTTAAAAGTATTTGATAAAAAATATTCATTCTGACTAGGCAATCATTCTGAATGATCACTTTTCCATCAATACTTTCTGATAAATGTCACTAATTAAACATATCAAAGATTTTGCCTTTGAGAAGCTGACTTATAAAATTTACTTCTTTCTTATCCCAAAGTCAACCACAATTTTAATCCCTTTTTATTTTTTTAAGCCCGACATTTGTTTTTCACTTTTGAAAAAGTATTTCACTATCTCCCAGTACATCTTGAGAGTGAGGTGGGACAATCCTGGAAGGCACTTAGCTTGCCACTAGGTGTATGTGGATTGTCATTACGAGTCCATTCTGTCACCCTGGTCCCTGCTTGCCTGGCCTTCTTCCTAGCAGAGCCCTCAGATCAGCCTGAGGGAAGGTGGAGGGGCGAGCACCCTTCTTGTGTCTGAACACATCTTTGGGGCAGAAGCTGAGAGAACACAGAGACCACAGAACGTGTCAGAGAAGATGCCTTTGAAGTCCAAATATGGCTTTTGTGGAACAGATTCTTCTTTGTGCTTTTTTTTCCTTGCAGAGTTTCTCATTTGGAGGATTATCCCTTCAGTGAAGAATATTGAAGCTGAATCTCTTGATGGGATTTCCCAGTGAGTCTTCTCTCCTCACTGAAGTGTTTCCCTCCCCATCCAAGTCTTCTTTTAGCCAAACTTACCTGAATCGTGCTTCGCCTGCCCTTGTGCGGCCAGAGTCTGGGCAGTGTTATGTCTAGATGCCTGTGTTCAACTACTACGGCCAGTCTGAGCAAGAAAATGCTACATTTACCATTAATGTGGCATATTTCATTTTTCTTTTCTTTTATTCTCTTTTCTTCACTTTCTCTCTCTCTGTTTTGTTTTGTTTTTTGAAACAGAGTCTCATTCTGTCACACTGGGTAGAGTGCCCTGGCATCATAGCTCACAGCAACCTCAAACTCTTTGGCTCAAGTGATCTACTTGTCTCAACCTCTGGGTAGCTGGGACTATAGGCACCCACCACACTGCCCAGCTAGTTTATCTATTTTTAGTAGAGATAGGGTCTTGCTCTTACTCAGACTATGAGTGTAGCAAACACTAACATTTTGGCATATGGCTCCAGACCTTAAAAAAACAATAATAATTATTAAAGAAGGGCCTACCTCACAGGTTCAAGACCAGACTGAGCCAGAGGGAGACCTTGTCTCTAAAAATGGCCCAGCATTGTGGCAGGCACCTGTAGTCCCAGCTACTTGGGAGGCTGAGCCCAAAAGTTGGATGTTGCTGTGAGCTATGATGCTACAGCACTCTACCGAGGGTGACAAAGTAAGACTCTATCTCAAAAAACTAAAAAGAAAAGAAATAAGGGGTACCAATATAGCGAGGCTCACTTTGGACTCTCCCCCATCCCCACTCCCTGGACTCCCTCCCCAGAGGTGAATCCTATCCTCACATTGCCAAGTCCCCCCCTCTTCCTCTGCTGCCCATTTGCCTGCTCATTCTCAGGTCCTGTCCTTCCTTACTACTGCCCAGCACAGTGGGGAAGGTGTTCTACCCACCCCTTCCCAGGCGTTCTTGCCAGGTGGCCTCCTCTGAGCTTGCCCAGTGAGAGGGTCTATGGGGAGATGGCAAGACTGGAGGAAGGGATGAGCCAGGAGTCTCTCCACCTTGAGTGGTGTCTCCAACAGAACTCATACTTCCTCTGTGGTCCCAGCTCATGCCAGGCAACCTTCACCTGATTCTGTCTTCTACCAGGTTGTGATGAGCTGCTGGGATATGGAAGCGGCACTTCCTCCTGTGTCCTCCACCCATAGGAGCTGTGGTGTCTTCCTGTAGCAGCTGAACTCTGATGGCCTCATCTTGTCCTTGGACATCCTGACTCTTCCATAACCAGCATTACACATTGTTCAAAATAAATATTTAATGTTCCAAAATCTTAAAGTGCTTTCTCATCTCCTGGATGGAACTTTGACTGATATACTTCTCATCCACTTAGCCACATTTTTACTCCTTATGTTTACATGTATACATAATCTATGGCATGGTTTCTATGTCATATGATAACAAGTTAATTTTATTTTATTATTTTACATAATTTACACCTGTTTGGGGGGGAGGACACAATTATAAGAGGGACTTTATCTAACAATGAATTCCAAACAATTAAAAAAGATGTGTAAAAAAAAACCCCAAATTTTCTACAATAGAAAATGCACTTTTATAATCAGAAGTGTTAGGAATTTGAAAAACAGATTCAACTCAAGTAGTTATTCCATCCATCCACTGAAAAAGTACATTGACTTTATTCTCATTTAGTGGACCTTTCAATTTTAATAAACAGATATTCTCCATGTATAATGCAGCAGAATGTGATTACACTTTGTTTTAAATTCTACCCAGTTTGTTTTCCCTCATTTTTTGTCAGTAAGATAAGTTTTTCCCCAAGATTTCATTCAAATTTTCACCATTAGAACATTATGGTGCTGTCTTTCAGCACCTTTGTTGGTTCAAAAATGTCAGCCCCTGAGTATGTTGGGAATAGCTGATGGGGAACAAGGCAGTCTAATCTTGACCTCCATTAAAACCTCACACAATGATAGGTGCTTTGGTTTCCCCACTGTGCCCAGGGCTTTTATCCTTGCTGTTCTTACTGACTGGGCTGCAATATTCTGGTTGTCCTAGGTTTTTGTCATCCTTACTATCAGTACCAGCTTTGGACAGCTGGAGCAAATTACCATAAGCTTCAAACACCAGAAATTCATTCCTTCCCAGTTCTAGAGGACAGAAGCCCCCAATCAAGGTGTCGGTGGGGCCATACTCCCTTTGAAGGCTCTAGGAAAGCGTTCTTCCTTGTCTCTTCCTACTATCTCGTGGTCACCAGCAATTGGAGAGGTTCCTTGTTTTGTAGTGTGCCACCCTCATTACTGCCTCTGCCTTCTCATGACCTTCTTATAAGGACATCAGTCATTGGATTTATGACTCACCCTAATCTAGTATGCCCTCATCTGCAAAGATTGTCTTCAAATAAGGTCTCATTCTGTGGTTCTGAGAGGACATGGACTCTAAGGGGACAGGATTCCATGATTCTACTTGCTGTAGTGTCTGACACATTACCCTGCCCATACTATGGTCAATATTTGTGAGAATATGCTTATAAATGTTTTTGATCAGAACTTACTTCTGTATTCATTTGTTACCAAAGTAGCTAAAGTGCCATCTCGTAACATCATCCAATTCATATTTTTGCACTGCTTTTCTCAGTAGCTTGTTCATTCTTGTATACATTCATTTCTTAGTTCCCTGGACTCTGTATTGTTTAATCCAGGTGCAAAGCATTTTCAGTTGTGTTTGCAAGTCTTGGCAGCTTCTCAAGCACTATGACTTTGCATTTTAACTTTCTGAACTTTGACATGGAAAGTTCCAATGCCCTGTAGTCCCACAATTGATCTTGCATCTTAGAAGACCCCAAATTGCCCCATATGACTGGACCAGTTTATTGGGCCTTTATCCATCTGGCCTAGGGGCATTTTGCTCTTCAGAGCCAGACCCACTGGAGCACATGACACCTAGCTGCCTAGGGTTCCTAGTTACCATCTGTCTCAAGGTGGGGTGAGAGGCCCTATTCTCAACCTTCCAATAACCCTCACCTAGAGTGTAGGCAGAATCCATCAATATCACTAGATAGCACTGGAACGATTATATTTTATTGTACAGTAAAAGAGGTATTAGAATGTAATTAATGCTCCAAATCAGAGGACTTTAGAGTGGGATTTTATTGGTGGTGGTCAGGGACTTACTCATGTGAGCCTTTGCTTGAGTTGTTTCAGGTAAGAGGAGAGTGAATCATGCTGGGTGGCCCCTTGGGACAAAGAGTGCTGAGTACCAGCTCCCTTCCTCTTCTCCCCTGCTCACATGTGCTAATGCAACTGTGGTAGGTCCCTCTGAAAATGACACCAGTGCCCTGGGGGACAATTAGAGCAGGGCAAAGTGAGTGGATGCTTTTCCTCTGTTGGTGCGCTCACAGCTCCTACACGTCCACAGAAAGTGGGATTCAAGCATTTCCCCTTGAAAGCTTGCCGCAGACTGATGGGGGGCTTGTGCACTGAGCCCTGTGCTCTTCAACCCTCCCCAGTGCTTCCCACCTGGCTGCTCCCAACCTGACTGCTCCAGCAGAGTGGAGTGTATCCCCAAGTGGAGAGACGTTAACCCTATTTGAACACCCTACAGGCAACTCAGGACCAGCATGCCACTTCCACCCCCTGTTATGGTCAGGGCTTGATAGGTCCCCAGGTCAGATCTCATACCTCAAGGACTTGATTGCTTCATTCAGGAGCACAGAGGAGAAGTCTGTGAACTGAACTTGAGAGGGAGGCAGCACAGGCAGGCAGAACTCAGAGGAGAGCAGGTGTTGGCCTGGGCAGAGGGCATTTGTAGATAAGCCTTCCCCCAACCTGTAAACTGCACTTCTGTTCTGTGGTGTGGCCCTGAGCAGGGAGGCTTGCAGCCTGTTTTGGCACTGTTGGTGAACTTGGCTGCTTTGAGTTGTTGACTGCAGCCAGATGCTAGAGGAAAAGCCAGAGGACAAGGGAAGTGGTAGAAGAATGAAATGTACCCTCACCTGCTGGACTGTGAATCCAGTCAGCAGATTCATCCCCCATGGGCAGATTTTAATGTGGTCAAACTCATGCCCTCTGTCGTAGCTTTCTCTAGTGGCGTAGGCACCAATTCCCAGCCCTTACTGAGTCAGAGCTTGCCCCAGAAGAAAGGCTCAGTCAGTTCCCCCTCTACTCAGTCTCATCCCCCGTCTTCCTCACTATGATGGGGCACTAGACAGGGTGCCTGGGAGATCCAGGGTCCTGCCCATTGCCTGGGACATAAATACTTCTCCCAACTGACCAGGGCTGGACACAGGTCCCTAATACTCCATCATAGCCAGCTCTCTTCAAATGACTACCTGTTTGCAGAAAGAACAACTTGCATAGCCCATTATAGCATTTACTGATTTAATCATTCAGAGCTTGGCTGACTCTTAGCTACAAGTGCCACCAACTGCCTTGGACATTAAACTGCATTTTCCGGTATAATTCATCCTGTTAGGATGTCCACAGGGCTGTAGAAAGAAAAAAGATTCAAAGACTTCCATCTCCCCATGTTGACATGAGCTAGGGAATCTGGAAACACGCATAATATACCACTGCTACAGCCTACAAATAAAAACCCATTGAGAAAACCACCACACTAAGGATATCTGTAACCAAGGCATTCACTCAGAACCTGGGACCTCTGAAAGCACCCACAAGCAAAGCCAAAAGTGATTAGCCAATGTGTGGTACAGGCCCACCAGTAAGAGGAAGGAGGAAAAAAGTCCCATCTAAACACTTCTCAAAAACAAGATGTGATGGGAGCTCCAGATGAGATGGAATCAGCCCAGGAACTCTGGAAATACGAAAACATCAGAGTGAAGGACCCCCCACCAAAGGATCACACCAGTTCTGTAGTAATTAATCCCCATGAGAATGAAAGTACTGAAGTAAGAGACCAACCACATATTCCAAACATGGCTTGTAAGGCAGCTCTATGAGATCCTACAGAAAATGGACCATCAACTGAAATAAACCAGAAACATAACTCAGGAAGTAAATTAAAATTGTACTAAAGATATAGTTATATTTTAAAAAATTAAGTAGAACTTATGGAAATGAAATTTCATTTGGGGAAATACAAAACACAGTGAGACGTTTTAAAAATAGACTAGACCAAGAAGAGGACTTACAGGACTTGATGACAAGTCTTTGAGATTTACTAAGTCAGTTAAGAATAAAGAACAACCTACAGAGAAACAAAGTCTCTGAGGAATATGGAATATGTAAAGCATGAGATTCATTCATATACCTGAGGGTGAAGAAGAAAAAGTAAAACGTTGGAAGCCTGTTTGAAAGAATAATTGAGGAAAACTTTTCCGGTCTTTGAAGAGATTTACACATTCACATACAAGAAGCTCAACACACACATGGGAGACTCATTGCAAAAAGGACCTCACCAAGACACACAGTCACCAGCTTGGCCAAAGTCAACTTGAAGGAGGAATTCATAAATGCCATGAGGTGAAAACATCAAGTAACTTAACACAGGAAAACACATTCCACCAACAGCAGAATTCTGAACAGAAGCTTTGCAGTGGTTCTCAACATTCCTAAATGCCACAGCCCTTTACTACAGGTCCTGTGGGTTAAGAGCTGCTGCTTTAGAGGCAGAAGGGAGTGAGCTTCTATCTTCAGTCTTCTTAAACCAAAAAAATGACATCTAAGATTTTGTGTCTTTTAAAACACAGTTTCATAATTGAAAGAAAGAAAGTCTTTCCTAGACAAGCAAACACTGAGGGTCATTCCTAGATTTGTCTTACAAGAACTGCTCAAAAGTGTCTTTACAATGTCACTTACCGGCTCAGTGCCTGTGGCTCAAGTGGCTAAAGCGCCAGCCACATACATCTAAGGTGGCAGGTTCGAATCCAGCCCGGCCCGCCAAATAACAATGACAGGTGCAACCAAAAAATAGTCAGGCGTTGTGGTGGGCGCCTGTGGTCCCAGCTACTCGGGAGGCAGAGGCAAGAGACTCGCTTGAGCCCAGGAGTTGGAGGTTGCTGTGAGCTGTGATGCCACAGCACTCTACCCAGGGTAATAAAGTGAGACTCCCAAAAAAAAAAAAAAAAGAGTCACTTACCAATATTATCATGGACTATAAATGGCATAAATGACCCACTTTAAAGAAACAGATTGGCAGGAGGGAAACAAAATAGCAACCCAAACATCCATTGTGTCCAAAAATCTTTAACTTATCACTATTCTCGCCTTCTTTATTTTGATGGTCGATAGTGATAGGGTTAAGTCCTGGTTCCTAAACATTACAAACTAATGAATTCCAGAGTGATGGAGTATCGTGTCCGCAAAATACTTAGAAAAAGGGGGATTGATACCATTTTTGAAATGTTTTTCATGAAAACATTTTCTGAAATTATCTAAAAGTAAAAACAGAAATCATTGCTTAGCTAATTCAAGAAAACAAACAAAAAAACTACATACAAGGCACAACTGAAAAGAAATGATTGGGGGAAGAATCGCACATACAATTACTTAAATCTATTTTGTTTTATGTTAAACATTTTTTAAAAATCACCAAGTAAGAAGCTCTGCTCCCTTCTTATTTACCAGTTTGGGAAAATGAAAAAAATTGTTAGCTGGAGGAAATGTAACCAAATGAAAGTGACAGATCAGCAGACCAGTGGCCCACTCCAAGGGTCTGAGTCGTTTTCAGACAATTACTGTATTAAAGTGTCAATGCTGAATTTTAGAGGAACAGAAAAATAGACCATTCTATTTTATTGTCTAAATAAATGTTTTTTAGCAAAGTGTGGCGGGCAGACTTCGAGGTGGCAGAACCCCCACAGCCCAGGAGATGCATTCAAAGAACACCCCCAAGGTGTCTCCTCCCTTCCTGAAACAGTAACAGTCTTCTGTCCTTGCTCCTTCTGCCAGGAGTGGTGGAGCTTCTGTATACTTTCCTATCTTTTGCCTAAAAGCACTTAGCTTTCTCTCCCTAAAGTTAACCTTTACCCCATGTACTATTACTAAGCCTCAATCTTGCAAGATGAAAATATTCCCACCCGTTTTTCCTTGCTGATTTGCGACATTGTTAATATATGAAACCGTTTAGGCCCTACATCACTAAAGCTGTTCACGTAGTTCAGTGCTGGCTGCAGTTACCAGCTGCCCCAGACCTTTGGATCCTGGCTCTCTAACTTTCGTGCACTCTGTTTCTTGTGTGATTTATGTTCTCAATTCCCCACCAACCCCACTGTGGTTCGTTTACTCTTCCTGCTGGTTCGTGAAATCAAAGCGTACAGAAATGCCAAGAGTTCCTGGACACTCTTTCTGGCTATGGAAAGAAAATGGCTTTTCACTATATAATCGTAAGAAGGGTCTATAACAATTCTTTTTAATCAAATAAAATCATTCTTAAGATTATTCTTTTAATCACATAAGATTATTTGTATATTGACCGATTACTCTATTTATTTCTCCTGGAATTCAACACTTAATAAATATGCTGGAGCTTTGTTTTGGTTTCTGTAAAAACAGACAACACCCAGGCTTTGATTTTTTAATTTTCTTGCTGTTATAAACATTTATTTTTAGATTACCCGATACAGCCATAACGTTCTACTTTTAAATAAACTTTGTTGACTTATGCATGTGTTGTTTGCACTTTTGATTACCACACCCACACACGAAGTTATCAATTGTTAAATGATGGGCTGAGTTCCCAGCACTAGGACTTGCACGTTTACCTATCTCACCCTGACTTTGCATTTAGTACTTTGGGCTCTGTCTTTGTAAGGTGCATTGTTGTTACTCACTCTGCCATCAAGGCCAGGGCGGCCATGGAGTCTTAGAAGGCCAGGACCGTGACCATCAGAAATATTCACAAGACCCAGCTCATTGTTTCTATTACAAACCTGTTTTTCTGGTACCAGTTACTATAAAATACTAGCATGCACATCACCTGTGTGTATTCTTCAGCATAAATCACATAACAAATATCTTCTTAAAAGTGCACAACAGAAGATTCAGAGATTGGTGAAATTAGAAACAAATCTCCCTAACGGATTAGTATTTTCACATCCGCCAAGATAAAGTACCCTCTTGGATTATCTAGCTCCAAAAAAGCTTCCATTTGAACCCCGTACTCTTGACTTCTTGGCAATAATTTGCAGCTTATCCTAAAGGGGCTTGGACTCATTTCTTTAAGTTCCGCTTGAGCTCTCGGAGGAAATCAGTGATCTCAGGAAAATAACTCTTTCTGCTCCTTCTTTCTTCTCCTCTGATTGCAATACTAGGGTGCAACTTCTGTCTTTCAGCTTTCTTAATTTACTTACAAACAGAAAATGCTGCTTCTACCTGTGAGCTGGAAACCAAGCACCCAGACAAGGATTTTAAACACTTACTTCAAGATAATCTGAAGTATCTGTTGTGCAGTATCATCTACTAGGAATTCGTCAGGTGCTGTAACCTGAAGAAAATGATGAGCTTCACAACTTTGGAAAGGAGAGCTTAGTTTCTCAGAGTGGGTTGCAGCCTCAAGAGTGGCCATTCTGACAAGGCAAGAAGCTTTAGCCTTAGATAGAAACCCAGAACATTACATCCAGGTAGGGACAACGGGAACAGGAATTTGTGCTAAGCAAGGTGGCCAATTGTACATATTTAACAAGAATAGGAGGAGGCATGAATATTTATAAAGGAAAAACTGTGTGTGCAATGGAGCTTAATGCCCCTTCATAGGTTGGTTGTACCAAAAATGGCAGCATTCATATGATCCCAGAGTGAAGTTTTCAGCCCTCTTACATCAAAAAGTGAATCAAAGGAACTACAAACACCTACTGCCCATACGCCACAGATGGGATAGATTTCATGGACCTTAGTCCATGGTCATCAGTCCTTTATCAGGATAGAATGTTGGTCAGTTGTTGTGCTGAAACCACAAAAACTCAGGAGCAGCTTTATATGATTGATTAAAATCAGCAGTGAAGCAAAGCTTCCCCAAGGGCTGGTTCCGTTTAGCCCTTTGGGAAGAAAGCGTAGGGCTATTTAATGAGGGAGGGGGTACAATGAGGGGTGTCGACCCTCCCATCCTGTTGCAGATAGGAATACGGTTTTAAGAGTTTTCTGAGGTCCCCTTGGCCAAGAGGGAGTCCATTCAATTGGGTGGAGTGCTTAGGAGTTTATTTTTCTTTCTCGATACAAAGAAGCACACTCATAGCTACAAGCTCCACAAGGTGATAAATGAATAGGTTTGTCTCACTGGGGACTTGCCCTGCTTCTGTGTGAGATGTGAGCCAGTACTTACA